ATAATTGGTACTGACGTTATAAATTTTATATTTTGGTACTGACTTTATAACCGTTATATTTGGTACTGACCTTATAACCGTTATATTTGGTACTGACCTTATATATTTTATATTTGGTACTGACTTTATAAATTTTATATTTTGGTACTGACTTTATAACCGTTATATTTGGTACTGACTTTATAAATTTTATATTTTGGTATTGACTTTATAACCGTTATATATGGTACTGACTTTATAACTTTTATATTTTGGTACTGACTCCTAGGGTATAAAGTGATAGTAATTGGTAGGGCCCACTGGCTTTATTCCATTGATTGGCAGGCCTCCTAGCTCGATTAATTTGAACATAATGGATACAATGTATTCAGGATTTGGGCACTGGATTTAAAACTATATTTCCTCTTTCTGGACTTCGCAAAAATGCATTTTTTGTGTCTTAGAGCCACGGTGGCTAAGTGGGTGAGACGCTGGCTCCCTAGCCTGGAGGTCGCGTGTTCGATCCCTGCATTGGCCGAGAAAGTCCATCGGGATTTTCGGCGTGGTTTCCCCATGTCAGTGGTGCAGGACGGAGGGCCTGACAAGGACAGCTGTCTAGTCGTTCGGATGGGACGAAAAATCGAGACCTCGTGCATACATTGGCTTGCACGTAAAAGATCCCTTGGCAGCTGGAATTCGATATAAGAGTAGGCCATAGTGCCACTGCCCGGTCAAAATGTCCCTCATAGCACACTGTATGACGTATGTCCGTCTTTATTAGTCCAGTCGGAGCAGAACAGTATAGGACGTTAAAGCCCATTTCATTTCATTTCATTTTTATGTCTTTATGGAAACCCATTTAAGGACAATATACCCTAGGAGAATTAAGTTTCTGGAAACAAAAATCTGCATCTTTAAGAACTGTATACGTATCTATTGGCTTTATATGTCTGGTGGTGCCAGTCAGTCACGCTAGACTCCATAGAGATAGACCATCTTTCAACAAACCAGAAATCTGAGTTGAGTTTTTTCGTTACACATATTTCGTTTCTTCTTACAAGTTTATCACAACTCATATTTTTGTTTGTGAGATTTATGAGCAGCTTCTTTCATCCATGGTACCGCTGTCTGTTTTTTCAGCTGCCATTGTCTTTAAAATGCACCAAGGGTCGATAGATAGAACCCGAAGTTCAAAGATGATAAAACATACACATATCTCTAAAATTATTAAGAATAATATAATGTTAGTTCTGTGCTAGACCTATATATATTAAGTCTATATGGGTCAAATTTGTATTTGGAATCATTTTGTAAAAATAATGAGAGCATATATTCATTTATTCTCCCAGGATTTTACGAAATGAATTAACCTTATTATCCTTATTTTAAATTATAATATCATTTCACGTTTATAGACATCTCTATGTACAGTTGTCATCCAAGGGAGGTGTTTAATACCACGACAATATCTTCCACGTCGTAGCCAAAGGAAACAAATACATTTGTAGTGGGAGATGTTAATTGAGATAAGGGAGATGCTAATTCTAGGCCGATTAGGAGGTTCTGGAATTTCCGGAGTCCACAATGGCCGCTTTATATAAATGACTATTTGGGGAAATACTAACCCTAACCCTAACCCTTATAAGATGGAAAAAAAGTTAAACTGGACCCAAGTTCAGTCTTCTAAAAAAGGTTAGGGTTATGGGTTAGGGTTAGTATTCCCCAAAATACTCATTTATACAATGCGGTCACTGTGAACTCCGGAAATTCCAGAACCTCCCCAACCGGCCTACAATTAGCATCCCCCATTTATAATACAATATGCATTCTATTTCCACCCGAAATCTAATTAATAACGTTGTTTTTGTGTCTGTGATCAAAGCCTTAATTTGTTTTTAGCTTTGATTGGGTTCTTTTTTTCTTTTTTTTTGTTTAATTTCCTTTGTTTTGTTGTGTGTGTGGGGGGGGGGAGGTGTGTTTCGGTGGAGTACATTTCCAGATTCCTAGGATATTTTGTGTCTGTGATCAAAGCCTTAATTTATTCGATTTGGTTGAGTTCCTTTTTTCTTGGTGTCTGTTTAATTTCCTTTGTTTTGCTTCATGTGAGTGTGTGTGTTTCGATGGAGTACATTACCAAATCCCAAAAATATTTTGTCGACGTTGGTTTCATTTTGTATCTTTTGTAAATTTAACTCTTTTGTAACTTAAAAAAATGTCTGAATTGTATTTTTCAGATTCGTCCAGAAAGTTGTATGTTTAAAGACCACCGCCACCCTGCTATGCCAGTCAGAAGATAGCTTTAATGCGGAAAAAGCGCTATGGAAAAACAAACAGAAGACATATATTATAATGGCGATAGGTTAAAACTGAATTGAAAGAGGCAGAAAGTGTTAGTTCGTGAAGCAACTTGTTGGATTGTGAAACATTAACCACATTTACCTCAAATCGCTGGAAACCCTAATTTGCTTTGTGTGAAATCGTTCCCTATCACAATTGGTTCACATGTTTGAATCTCGATTTGAAGACATATTAGAAGGAAAGTTTGTAAAGAATCGTTTATACAGGCCTACATGAACTCTACAAGAATATATTATGTGTGCACCCGATAAAATAATACCCATATCACTTTCAAAAAATGCCACACCCCTGGGTGCACAATAATCTTAATATCAAATACCTCTTCTACTCATTATGTTGTCAAAGATGAAAAACGAAAAACGTTCATCTGAAAGATGTCGAAATATGTCTTGCCAATATTACAGATTTGTGTGCATCATTTCAAATTTTAACTATGACCGGAAGTGACGAAGATGAATTGTTCAGCTCGTCTATGCAAATACTGAGGACACCCTATACAGTTGTTTACGTTTATTTACCTTACGCTGGAAAATATTTATCACTTAATTGGTTTGTTTCATGGGTGACCCGGTAGTTATGACGACAATCCAGCCAAGTTAACAAAGATTTGTGAGTGTTTGAATCTATGAAACAAAATTATATGGATGTGCATCTCTTGAAACCGTTACGATGATACGCCTGAATACTGACAGAAGATAGCAATAATTCCGTGGTGGGTTTTGTTTAGCTGGGAACTGACTGTTGGTCCATCCATGTGTAATATTTCAATAATGTAGCCACAAATTACCACTTTTTTCCTGGGTGAAAACCAAATAAAAATCAGATCAACAGCAGTTTCGAAGCTTTATTAGATTACTTAAATCGGACATTGAATTTAAAGATACTTTATGGGAGATTAGTAAAAGAGCTGGCAGTTCTCACTATAATAGTTAAAAACTAGATAATGTAAAGGGAAATTGCTGAAAATTTTAGTCAAATTGATCCACTCGGTCATCATTACTAAAGTCGGTACGATAAAAAAAACCATAGTCTCGATTATCCACTTCATGATTAAATCATGAATGAACGTTGAGCAGCAATTTGGATCCTTATCCAGTAAATATCGCAGGCTAGCGATGACATCAAGAGTTGATTATGGTCTGGATAAGTTAATTAATGTCTAATTAATAATTTAGATAACACTTCAGGCCTAAAAAAAAACCCTGTAATAGGCAGAGTTAGCTCTTGCATAATGTATGTTTAATTCAAAGATAGATGTAGAAGCTGAGAATGTAGACTAACGTCCACCAGGGGCTTGTCTGCGATATCACCCTGGGTCTAAGCGGACGTTAAACCCCACGAACGAATTTACAAGGGACACACCTTGAATATATCGACGAATGGAACTCATATGCACGACAATTCATTTGTATATATTATTTGTAATCTGAATTAATTAATGCTATATTGTACAGTTTTAATTGTTTATTGTTTGTAAATATTAACATCGGTAAAACTAATTAAAGTTAATTAATTAATTAATGTTGTTTTAGTCAATAATAATAACAATATTTGTATTATAATTATAGATAAGTTGTTAAAGAAAAGAAGCGTTATAATAATTGGTCAATAATATTGCTTGATATAATATTATGATAAAATTGTTATGAATATGAATAAATGAAAATAGTTGAAAAGGTTTGTTATTCTTGGTTGAAGGAGCCACGGTGGCTAAGCGAGTAAGACGCTGACTCGCTAGACTGGGGATCGCGGGATCTCTCCCGGTGTTGGCCGAGAAAGTTCATAGGAATTTTCCAGCGTGGTTTCCCCTTGTCAGCGGTGCAGGACGAAGGGTCGTTGAGATGGGACCAAAAACCGAGGTCCCATGTACACATTGGCGTGCACGTAAAAGATCCCTTATCAGTTGGAATTCGATATAAGAGTAGGTCGTAGCGCCCCTATCTGGGTAAAATTTCTCTCATCGCACACTATGGCGCATGCCCGTCTTCATTATACGCTGACGTGTAATTGCGTTAAATCCTCCTAGTGCAAAAACAGAAAATTTGACCTTTTCCGGGGTCACAAAGAACAAAGATGAATTTAGCAAGTTTACATTTTTATTGAAAGAGTGATTAGTTTCGATCATTTTCAGCAGTTTTTCATCATACAAGAAAGGCTGTGTATTCACTTTCTGTGTAAATTACTGCTTTTGACCCCGAATATCTCGAAAACGCCCAAACCGAAGACTGATCACCACTCGGCATCGTATATTCGTATTCTACGCAAATGTTTACTATAGGGAGAGAGAGAGAGAGAGAGAAAAAAATGGGGTTTAACATCCAATCGACACAAAGTAGGTCATTTCGGGACTAACATATGGTTCAAATTTATTTCAATAAATCGCTTTCTATAACCCGATATCTACTGTAGAATTGATTACTGAGTGATAAAGTTTCTTATTGATGTATTTGATACATTAAAACAAAAAAAGTTTAATAAATGGCTACATTTTAGTTAAAAATAAGACGAACAATTTTGAGTAAATTCTTAACTTCAGTCTGAGAATGCTTTTTGAACTCGGGACCTGGTTTTGGGCCCATTTGATAGACCCCCCCCCCACCCCTCACTGAGCCTCCGGTCTAGTGTGTATGTTTGCTCATCATCATTCGTCGCCGAGATCCACACCAAGCATGTGGTATCAAATTAACCAGCATGACTTTGTGAATGTTTTAGGCCATCGAATTTGGGCTCCGGGCTAATTTGGGCCCTAGGCGAATATAGGTCCCGGGCGAAATTGTGCCCAGCCAGGCCAAGCCCGGTGATATCCTGCTAGTAATACATAAAATGTCACTTTAACCTACGAGTGACGTAATAACTTATGGTGGTATTCATACGAAGAAAATCACGTGATATTAATTATTATACACGGTGTATTTAGAGTAAAGTGAAGCGTCATTCATCCGAAGAGAAGGTTACTGAACACAAAACAACTTAGTAAGGCTTACATGGGTTAATCACGTGATATTATACACTACATGTATATTTATTGTATATAAAATAGGTCAGCCAATGTGCTGTGTCACTCAGCGCATTAGTCATTCAGCCACAAATCGATCATATAACGTAGCTGCCTGGAGTTTGAAAGTACATTAATTGTTCTGAGATGCATTTATGGACGTCGTTGTGATTATAAAACTAAGGGAGGATGGCGTGTAAATACACATCATGTACAATCTGTTTGGATGATTTCACCAAACCTAAGTTCCTGCCTTGTCATCACACTTTCTGTCAAAAATGTATCGATGATTATATCAGGGTGCATGCTCATTCCAACACGTTTAACTGCCCTATTTGTCGACGACAAACCACAGTTCCAAAGGACGGCGCCAGTCAGTTTGTCAGCAACTTTTATCTAGAAGACGACGAAGATGATACGCTGTATTGTACAAGACACAAGAAGAATAAAATAGAAGTTTATTGTCGAGATTGTCGTGAATCGTGTTGTTTGTTTTGTGCTATGATGCTCCATCAAAATCATACGAAAGCTGATTTCGACTACGTGGATAGGGATATAAGGGAAAAATTCTCGAAACTGAAAACAGAATCCAAAAAGAAGATAAAACAGTTACAAGAACATTCTCGCTTTCTAAAAACCAGGATATCTGATTTAGAAAACTCGTGTAAGGCAGCTTGTGATAATGTTGATAAACAAATAGATACTATTTGTAAAAAAGTCAGGAAGATGGGAGGAACAATTAAAGATGACATCAATAAAATTGGCGAAGATGAAAACAGTAAACTCACCAAACTAGTAGAAGATGTTGACAAGATGACATTAGAATTGAAGAAATGGTGTGAATATTCTGATCGTATATTGCAACATAGACCTATAATTACAGCTGTAGATAAAGACGAATTAGTAGATATTCAGACAAAAACTGATTACAACATATTCGCACATTTAACTAAACCTGACGTGATTTATCCATATTATCCAATGATGGAAGTTGATGAAGACAGTTTAAAAAAACTACTGGGTGAAATGCAAATAACATTTACTAGCAGTTTTAGTATGAACGATATATTGCACAATGACAGGGGCTACTATAGTGTGGGTGTAATAATACAAGGGTTGGTATGGTGTGTAAGTGTTGGTATCGACTCTTACGGAAACCATGAATATCCATTATTTACCAATCTGGGAATGAATACAGTCGAAGATAAAACTATTTCAGGTGTTAAAGCCCGGTATACAGTAAAAGTGTTAAATATCAATGATGAGAATAAATCACTAGTTAAACACGGTACACAAACATTTATACCGGGTTGTTGTATAGGTGCTGCAGGTATAAACGCGAAAGAAATTGGTGATTTTACTGACAATAATCATGTATTTACTATTCACGTTGCCGTATATATTACTGATGTATATAAATACATATATACTAAGCAGCAAAAGCAACGCCAGTTTGTTATGTTATACTGAATGGGCGCATTCCATAAGTTGCCAAATGTTTTTATTGTATATTTGTGACCACATCTCTAACTTTACCTGAGCAATAAGACTACTTCCAAAACACAGAATTGAACCCAGGAAATGTTCTCACAAACGCAATCCGACTTCTGAGATGGCAGCATGCCACGACTCACGAAAGCTCAGAGGAACCGGGCGCTTGGAAGATTCGACGTTGGCCACACTGCCCAAGCCGTTGCCAATCACTTCCAGGTCAATGTTCGGACCATCTACGAGCTTCAGCAACGCTTTCAGGCCACCAACACCACGGATGATCGCCCCGAACTGGTAGACAAAGGGTTACCACAAAGCGACGAGACCGCCATGTTGCGCGATAGCACGTGTAGAATCCCTGCATCTGTAACAGCACGTCAGACAGTGGGAGTATACGGAAGACCCATCAGTACCGATACATTGCGCCGACGTCTCACCAGATAGAACATCCATTGCCGTAGACCTTAACGTGGACCGATCCTCACCATCGACGTGAAGGTCTACAGTTTGCCCAACAACACCAGAACTGGCAACACAGGCAATGGAGAACTGTTCTGTTCACAGATGAGAGTCGGTATTGCGTATCAACTGCAGATGGCAGGACCAGAATATGGCGTCGACGTGGCCAGCATTATTATGACCAATGTGTCATGGAACGAGACTCATGGGGAGGTCCAAGCATAACGATTTGGGGTGGAATCGGCTTGAACCAGAGAGTGGGTCCTGTGGTGTTCCAAAATCTTGGTCCAGGAAGAGGCGGCGGCATCACAGCAGTGCGCTACATCAATCAAGCTCTCAGACCCCACGTCATACCACATTCCGCACGTCATCGACACAACGCCTGTGCCCACACCGCCAGAGTTACTCGGGGCTTTCGACAGCAGAACGGTGTCAACGTTATGCACTGACCAGCCCTTAGTCCGTACTTAAACCCAATTGAACATCTTTGGGATGAAATTCAGAGGAACTTAATAATGTCGTACCGAGACCAAACACAGCCGATGGATTGTGTCGGGCTTTTCGGAGAGTGTGGTTCCAGGTGCCAATGGTGTTCATCAATCGTATGGTACACTCCATGTACAGACGCTGCGCTGCTGTTACTGACACTCGCGGTGGACACACCAGATACTGATGTATAGACTGTGTACAGACTCTTAAACCTTCTCTTAATGTCTTGGAATGGTGATGAATCCATCAATAATGTGTTAACATAATCTTCACCAAAAATTACTTTAATCCATTTAGTAAGTCGATTTTTAGAATGATTTGATTGAAGTGCCCCTCTGACGTTGAAATCGTACTGACGTTTTTTGTTTTGTTTTTTGGGGTTTTTTGGGGTTTTTTTTTTTTGCTGTTTAGTATGTGTGCGTTAAATATTGTTTGATTAGAAACATGGCGTGAGTATACATCAGTGGTTCTCAACCTTTTTTCGCCAACGGCCCACCTTGGAACAAATGAAAAAATAGCGGCACACCTGGCAAAATATATATGAAAAATATTTGAATTTTGCAAAATAAAAACATGGTAAGTCAGACGGAATACACCAGTGAATACTCAATTGGGATCTAACTATAAACTATAAACATCCGAGGCGAGAGTCGCCGTTAAGCAAGTCGCCGATTTTTTCGGCGACTTTTTCGTCGCGTGGCTTAACGGCGACTCTCGTGATGTGAAAGTCGCGGGTCGCCGTTGTATCTAGAAACCCGCCGATCTAAATGGACGCTTTCAGCCACCATATATAATAGTGAGTTGACAACATATTAAGCAAAAGGCATAAAAATAATTATGTTTTGACTTTCTTAGAAAATATGAAATTGTAACAGATTCTATTTCGTTTCGTTTTTCATAGTTCAAAATTTCGTTTTATTTGTCTGTACTACAGTAGGATCTGGAAGAGTTGTTATATAACATGCCTGTCATTGAGTCAACTGGCGTGGTTTCGAATCCCCGGTTGTACGTGACAAAGAGTAGGGTCGCATCCAACCTCGTGGGTTTTCTACGGGTCCTCCGGTTTCCTCCCACTGCTAAAGAACCTACGCGCAAACGAATTATTGAAATAAAATGAAACCATATGTTTGTCCCGAAATGACCAAATTTGTGTTGAGTGGACGTTAAACCCCATTTCTCTCTCTCTCTCTGTTATAAACATGCGTTCTGGATGGCGTGAGGTATTAGCCAATGAAACCATCTGTTACGGCGACTTCTTGGCGTGCCATGCGCGGAACTGTGGGTAACCCACTAGAAACGTCATAGGGTCAAAAGCCGCTCGTACGACACCTGATGCAACCTTTCAGTAAAACTGGTCAGATCTGCATGTAGTGTAGGCCATCGAATGCATAAAAAAAAAAAACGAAACGAAATACAGGAATATTTTAATCAAATTTTATTATGCTTATCTACCTAGATAATATCTTGTAATAAAGTGCTGGCGCGTATTGAATCGCGAAACGCTGCTGAATAGCGATTCTTTTTTTTATGAATACGAATCGCATCGTAGCACCTGAATCACAATACATATCGTATCGTGACTGCATTGGTAATACCCAGCACTATTGCAATCCATTATTATAATACTTAGTTTTATTAACCTAACATATTTCCCCCAAGGACGTTATTGGGAATTTGTTGTATTATAATTCATTTTGAAGAGATATATTCGTAAACCCCAGTTTAAAGAGAATTATTTGTTATTATAGTTATGATTTATTTTGAAGAGATTCGTAAACACTAGTAAATTATGTAATACTGATAAATCTCAATTAAACTATCTTTTGAAGTTTCCTATACGTCTAGTTTTTTTTTATATTCCTTAGGCTCAAAACCAAACGAAATTAAAATACTGCGAATTTTTTAATTTAAATTTGAGCCAAGTATCTTCACGAGTAACACGATACACGTTTGTTACCTAAAAGTCTGACCATCAGAATTCTTCAAAAACTTCCCCAAAGTCCAGGAAATGGCAAATCAGGTCCTCGAGATTCAAAAGTGCGCTGGCCACTCGTATTAGGAGCCTGTGCATCAGTCTGTCCCATTTTGTGCATACTAATTTTTTCATGGGACCTCGGTTGTTGTTGTTTTTTTTTTTTTTTTTTTTTTTTGGGGTGGGGGGGGGGGTCCATCCGAACGACTAGACGCCTTTCCTAGCGAACCGGGACGACGCTGGGAAAAACAGGACGGGAAAATTCCGAGGAACTTTCTCGGCCAACACCGGGATCGAACCCGGGACTTTCTGGTTAGTGAACCAGTGTCTTACTCACTGCACTACCGGGCTCGTAAGTTGACTATAGGCCTACAGTCACATCGGAGCTGTTCAAATCAGATTTTATGCAAAATAGCCTACAAATTTGTCAATTCATCCCCCCCCCCCCCACCAACCTCTCTCCCTCTCTCTCTCTCTCAATTTTGTCTGGAAAACCGCTCTTCCGCCTATTCTGCCTGGATTTCGAATGGGGCAAAAACCCGTGGTCCAGTAAGGAGTTCAGTTTGAATTCAGAGTTAAAATAAAAAAGCCGAATTAGAGTTGTGATGCCGCCAAATAGGTTTGGGTAGATTACAGTAAGCATTATTTGTCATCGAAATGAAATGAAATGGGGTTTAACGCTCTATTATTGTTCTGCACCGACTTGGCTAATGATGACGTAGGTTAGCCTACAAGGTTTCGACAATTACTATTCAAATAATTGATCTGTGATTCAAAATGTGTACATCCTTAATATAGGCCTATGTCAAATAATCCCAGAAGTTTGAGATTAAAAACATCCCAATCCTTGTTAAAAAATATTGTGTTATTTATGTAGCCTACAGCCTACTCTTGTTTCTTATTCCCACTGTCGATGGTCCTTAAAATTACGTGCACGCCAACGTGTAGGCTAGCCTACGCCACCACCCACTTTCGTCCCATACGAACGACTAGGCATTGCATTGCCGTCTAGTTATGCATACTGCATAGATTCACTATAACGATTAGCCTACACGATTTCCATGGCAGTTGCGATAATTTATACGCGACTCTGAATAAGCCCAGCTATTTTTTTTTTGTTTTTATTTTTATAAAATCTCGCAAAGGTACACATGAAAAGTTAGCCATAAAAAATAAAATTGTTTTTGTCTCAACTCAACGTACATATTCTCCGTAATTGATTGAATTAACATGGCGAAATTCAAATATTTGACATTTCACTAATCCTAACAAGACCACGCCCCTTAACGACAAGGGAGATAGCTCTTGTTTTCTATGGTAAATAACAACAATTAAAATGGCGGACAAACGTGCAGAATCAGTAAATAGTGATTCTGACAGCACAGACGATGTTGTTGTAGGAAATGTGAATAAATTTGCTGTCGTTCCGTCTGGCTATACTGGTAAACCAAAAAAGGGGCACCTGATTTTTGATGCTTGTTTTGAGTGCGGGAATTTAGGGCGTGTAGACTATATCTCAGAACTTGAATATGATTTATTCATTCGCCCGGACACCTGCAATCCACGATTTCGAGTGTGGTTTAATTATACGGTTGAAAATGTCCGGACAGATCAGCGCATTATCTTCAACATTGTTAATTTCAGTAAAACAAAATCCTTATACAGAGAAGGGATGACTCCATTAGTAAAATCTACCAGTCGTCCAAAATGGACGAGAATTCCAGCCAAAAATGTTTATTATTATCGCTGTCCAGATCACAGAAAGAATTACGTCATGTCGTTTGCCTTCTGTTTTGATCGAGAAGAAGATGTCTACCAGTTTTCATATTGCTATCCATATTCATACTCAAAACTTCAAAATTACCTGGATAATCTGGAGAAGAAAAATTTTAAATTTTTCAATCGCGAACTATTATCGTTGACAGTTCAACAAAGACGATTGGATCTGATTACAATAGCCCAACCACAGGACAAAAAACAGGAACCTTGTGAAGAAAAACAACGAATAATTTTTATAACTGCTCGTGTCCATCCAGGCGAGACACCATCATCATTCGTTTGTCAAGGAATTATAGATTTCCTCGTTAGTAATCATCCAATCGCAAAAGTTCTACGAGAGAATCTGGTTTTTAAGATTATTCCCATGTTAAATCCAGATGGAGTCTACCTTGGCAACTATAGATGTTCTTTAATGGGCTTCGATTTGAACAGACATTGGCAGGAACCGTCACCATGGGCTCACCCCACCCTCTATGCAGCTAAGAATCTTTTAATGGGCTTAGATCGTGATCCGAAAGTCAACTTAGAATTTTATATTGATATTCATGCACATTCAACACTGATGAATGGTTTTATGTATGGAAACATCTACGAAGATTTGGACAGATTAGAACGCCATTCGATCTTTCCTAAACTTTTATGTGGAAATGCTGAAGATTTTTCTATGACGAATACAAATTTTAATAGAGATGCCATGAAAGCGGGAACTGGACGACGGACATTGGGTGGATGCTTGGACGAGTCCGCACATTGTTATACTCTAGAAGTTTCTTTTTATAGTTATCAGACAAGCACTGCCAGTCAATTTATGCCGTACACAGAAGAAGGGTATATGAAACTAGGTAGAAACGTGGCTCGGACATTTCTCGATTTTTATAAAATGACTGGTTATATAAGTAGTAAGCCCAGTAGCAGTATCGTACCAAAACCGTATAATATCGGATCTAGAGACAGGGCGGGGGACAACAATAGTGAATCAGGGGTCAAAAATTTATACGATGACCCTTATTACACCAGGTGAATTGACTCAGATGTTTGGATATATTTTAATGAAGGAGAGCACGGTCATTTGAATCAAAATCAAATATTTCAACTCTTCACAGTGGTCGATTATTTAAGGGGTTTGGACTGTTGGTTCATGCAGTTTTATTCATTTGGATGATTTTAGTTTGTCTACTGTATGTTCTGTGTTCTGTCGAGCAGCTAGAAGTATGATCAGTATTGTGGCTTACAGCTTTATTCACTAGGAATTAGGCCATTTTGGGTTGTCTGTGACTCTTGAGTGTAAACTGTACTGTTTGTTCTATATTTTGCTGAGCAGCTAGAATGGACATTTGTTGTGGCCAACAGCTTTATTCACAATGCTTCGAGTTGTACTGTTTGTTCTGTGTTTTGCCAAGAAATGAAATGAAATGGGGTTTAATGTCCTACTTTTCTGCACCGACTGGGCTATTGAAGACAGGATTTTGCCGAGCAGCTAAAACCACATATAAAAATAATCAAATAATATCAGAGCGTTTACATTTTGTCATTATATTAATGATACATTACAGTATATAATTTAAATGACTGATTATTTATAATATTTAAATGCTATTTATTTATTTATTGTAAATTTTTGTGTTTATTGCTTGTTCAGTATGTAATAATAAATATTTTTTTTTAAAACTCTATTCTATAAATAAAATATTAAAATTTAATGCGAAGACTATCAGTATTATAATATAGAAATATCTGTATTAAATGTGGGAGCCATGGTGGCTCAGTGAGTAAGACGTTGGCTCGCTAAACTGGAGGTCCCATGTTTAATCCCTGCGTTGGCCGAGTAAGTTCATTGGGATTTTCTGGTGTGGTTTCTCCTTGTCATTGGTGCAGGATCGAGGGCCTGGCAAGGGACAACATATAGTCGTTTGGATGTGATGAAAAACCGAAATCCTATGTACACATTGGCATGCCCGTGAAAGATCCCTTGGCAGTTGAAATTTAATATAAGAGAAGGGCGTAGCGCCGCTGTCCGGGAAAGATTTCCCTCATGGCACACTGTCGGCATATGCCCATCTTCATTAGCCCAGTTGGATTAAACCCTATGTCATGTATTAAATGTGATGTTTTTAATGATAAATCCTAGTTAACTTGCGATATTTGATTCTGAATGTGAAATATCTTGATTCTAATTCAAACCATTCTAAGATCAGAGAAATGAAATTGCGTTCAACGTCCTACTTTTCTGCTATGATGAGGTAAATTTTGCCGTGACAGGGGCTCTACAGCCTACTGTTATTTCGAATTCCACCTGTCAAGGGTTCTTTAACGTGCATACCAATGTCTACACAGGACCTCAGTTTAACATGCCATCCAAACGCCTAGACACTGTCCTTGCCAAGGCCTCTGTCCTGCACCATTGCAGATTCAGAATTAATATGCATGTGTTGTTAGGGCCTTACACTGTACATTCTATTTATCCACATATTTAATGACGTTTTTTTCTGAACATTTGGCTGTCAAACTGAATAGTATTAATTAACCAGAGCCTTATATATAAGACTCTGGTATTAACTAACGAGTTATTTAAATAATGGATTTACTGTAAGGCCGAGCTAATGTCATTTTAGCTTTCACCAAATTTCATATAATATCACAAAGACAGTCATGGTTCATCAAGTTTTTAGTTTTGAATCAAAAAATACTGTACAACATTTATTTCGGATCTAATCCTTAAAAATTAATTGGGATCTTATCACATTCAGAGGGAATGTAATTTGATTCAAATCAGAGCAAGATCATGAACACCTCTCTCGTCTACTGTTATTTTGTATGGAACTTTGATTTAAACTTTACTGTTCATAACAGAAGAATACGGGTGGGACGATTTACCCAATACCACCCAATACAACCTCAATATCACCACATACTACCCAATACACTACAACATAACAGAAGAATACAGAGTCTTGATTTATTTTGAATTTTTATTGATCAATTTTTTGTGAATGTATATATAATTTGTTTTTATATATATGATTGAATGTAAGTAAATAGTATTATGTTTTGACAGATTTTAATTGACTGTAATATAAGTTTAATAGTAATCACTTTTAATTTTATCTGACGGAATTAAAGTTTTATTTTAAAATGGAATATGTTTGTTTTGTTTTTTAAAAATGTATAGAGTGTATTATAATATTTGTGGATTTAAATTTTAGTTCCTAGAACTAGACCCATAGGAATATTCTGAAATATTACTCTTTATATCAAATTCTTTTACTCTTCCATTAAGAATTACTTGGCACACTCAAGGGAGATGATTTATGAAAACTTCTGAAAATTATGATTTTCTGAAAATTAAATTCTAACAATCATCAATGATGCTAAACCATGGATACTTGGAACTCTCTACCACTACATCTGGACATCCCCATCTCTCGGTGTTTTTAAGCAAAACCTCAAAACCTACTTGTTTAAGTGTCCATATTTATAACTATTTCCTGTAAATGTTTTCAGCGCTTTGAGCAAATAATACTGTTTCGAGTCTAGCTCTTTTTTTTTTTATAAGAACCCTTCTAGATATTCTTCTTATTATTATTAAATAGCATTTTACCGGGGTTTTTTTCAATGATCCAGAAAATATCTAAACAAAAGGTCTAAGAAAAATTATGGTTCAAATAATGAATTGTCTCCCTTTAATCTTCAATTTTTTTCCTCATTTAACTGTTGATGCTATAAATCCTGAATCATGGCCAGTACCCACAATTTTATTTATTGTTAATCCATTTATAGAATTAAAGTCTGTATGTTGACTATCAAAAATCAGCGTCAACAGAGACAATTACAGAAGGCGGTTTACTTTTTATATCCCAAAGATCTCAGTCTCTTCGCGCATTTCAGACCAGGATTTCCTGGATTATGGACCCTGATTGTATGAAAAATCACTTTGTTTTTAGCTTGTTCCCTATCCATCTCATGCAAAATGTGGGTGTATCTTTCCTAGCAAGTGGCAACTGCTGGATAAAAAAAAATACATGGTATTTTGGTATTTAATATTTACATAGAATTTATCACAGGCATGAGTGTAGAACTGATCTTGAGTAGACTTTTGAATGCTCAAATCTATAAATTAAACAAAACACAGCAAGGATAACATGAAAACCATAAATCCATTTTATTCCTATAAAAATACATAATGATAAAATCATTAATCTCTTCATAAACAGAATATCTAAAACAGTTTTTATGTGTGTATAAAAGAGTTATTGCCTTTTTATATGGTAAAGCATGCATGATAAATAGATAAGAGTCCTTGATAAATTTAAAATACATACTTATTAAAAACATAAAATATAACATATTTAAAATAAAATATCTTGGGAACTATGTATTTGCTAAATGTAAATAGAGTACTCGGAAATTTACAATCAAAATTATAGCCCAATGAACAATCCCTGTGAGTTTGATAAAAAAATCTGTAAAGAACTTGGAGAATGTTCACAAGAATGGGTCCGAACATATTCCCAAGGCAAAGGCCCGAGAAATCCCTCTTGAGTGGGATTAGATCTAATCAAACAAAACACTGCAAGGAGTAAGGGTCCGAATTGAAAGCTGGAGTAATGGCCGCTGGTATAACATCATGGCTACCAACAGAGAAGTGATAATCGCTTCTGCTGTGGTCAAAGTGATTCTGCGAATAGCAATAATGTTCACAGAAAATATTTACTTTAAAAATATATCGCTAAAGACGACAATTGACTCTGTCATTGTTTCAACAGATTTGATGTAGTGTAGTGAGGTTTATATCTAATTCACACTTAGAATTGTTATTATCTGCAGAATGGTTAAAGGCTCAATACCACTCTTGTTGTAACTGAATAATATGTCCCAATCTTTATTCTGGTCAACAAATTGTACTATTTTACAATATTCCAAATAATTGATGATACAAATTTCATCTTAACACACCTAATTGAAAAAATTGGAAAAATTCAACTAAATCATTTGAAAAGCCTAATGTAAACCTTTTCAAATGTGACTTGGATTTAAAAATATTTTTGAACCCTCTAGACAAGTAAAATAGGATTTAATGGATAATTTACACCTAGTGGGTCCTCCGATTTTCTCCCACTGCTAAAGACCCCTAAGTGCAAACATATCAATGAAATAAAATTGATTCATGTTAGTCCCAAAATTACCTAGTTTGTGTCAAGTGGGCCTTAAACTCCATTTGTCTCTCACTCAATTGCTGTGCCAGTTGTGCGGACTGCGGAGTGTTATGGACAGCCAATCAAACTGGTCCAAAATACATCCCAAGAGTAATTCCATTCAGTTCAATTGAATTATAGACTACTAGCAGGATACCCGGCTTCGCTCGGGGGTCATAACTCCGAAACCGGAAGTGGTAGACTAACGCCACCTGGCCTATGTTACTCCCCGGTCCGAGCTACCCCTATATCCCAAATTTCAGACTCGGGGCAGACCTAGTGTAGCCGCCAACCCCGAACAGACCGGCTTCGCTCGGGGGTCATAACTCCAAAACCGGAAGTGGTAGACTAACGCCACCTGGCCTATGTTACTCCCCGGTCCGAGCTACCCCTATACTTCAAATTTCAGAATCGGGGTAGACCTAGTGTAGCCGTCAACCCCGATCAGACAGACAGACAGACAGACAGACAAACGACAGTCACAAATATATATATAGATCATGTGTAAACAAAGTTAACACTGTCAATGGACCAGTTGTTTGTTAACACAGTCAATGGACCAGTTGTTTTTACACAATATTTACATGTAGATGAACAGTCTTGAATATCACATAACAAATATATACATGAACAAAATTTCCCGGCCACTTCAATTCTTTCTCTATCGATATAGAAAATATTTGTTACATTTTAACAACAGAAACCCTTTTGTGTTTCGTGAAGACTTAAACATAGATCTGTGAACTATTAAACATTTTTTTTTGTAAAATGGCATATGGGTAAAAACAATGAAGTCTTAAATAAAAATATGACATATTTTCACTTCCTTACTCCCAATCAATTGACCTGGGTCTCTGATCCCACCAATGAAACAAGACTGTGGTCAAATTTAGCTTATATATAGGTGATACATCAAGTGCAACACAAAACATGTAAAATATTTGTGGTGGGAAAAGATGATATTATCACCTTATCCAAGAATATAAAAGTTATTTAATACGATTTCTAGTGCGATATTATCACAGTAAAAACCATGTAATATAATATACAAGCAAGCAGGAGCAGACTAGTAGGTCTCTGAAATTTAGAAGAGTTCTGAGGGCCCATTGGTCCTGGTTGGGAAAAAAAATAACATATATGTATATTTTTACAAAATTAATATAATTCATCTTTGCATTGACTGAAAAATATGACCTAAATCCGAGGAGTAAAATGATCTATGAGTGAGGTGAGGGAAAAGGTGAATCAAGCTAGTTTCGTTTTCTTGTCATGTCACATATTCTTCACGGCAATGGAGGTCCAACAGAACCAGTTGATGCAAAGGCCCAGGCCTACCCAGTCTGCCCCTGCAAAAGCAAGCTGGTGTATATAAAACAAAGAGTATTCCATGAAAAAATAATCTTATTGCATAACAAAAATAGAGTGTTCAGGTACAATATATATATAATAATATATATCACAAAACTGATATGAGTATATGGTTGTGTCTGCCATCATTATAGGTTTATTTACTAAGAATGTCGTTAGGAGGCTGAATGACAAAGGTGCTCGTTTGTTTCAGAAATAATAAATTACGTTAATTAGACTAAACCAATCTGATTAAAATTGGATGCCAATTTTACTTGATGTCACAAACGGTTTAGATCACATGAACTAAATGACCAATCAAATTACCTGTAGGTAATAGTGTCGAATGAAATCCAATAAAGACTAAATACTGGCCCCCATGTCAACAAATCTTTCTTTGCTTTTCATAAATGTAGCAAACTTTAAAGTTTTTTCTTAAAGAAGCATCTCTGAGTATGTATTTTATGTCAGAATAACAAAAAATCTAATTACATTGTAATCTAATTACATTGTAATCTAATTACATTGTAATCTAATTGCATTGTAATCTAATTGCATTGTAATATAATTACATTGTAATCTAATTACATTGTAATCCAATTACATTGTAATCTAATTACATTGTAATCTCATCAAATTGCAATCTAATTAAACTGAAATCTAATTTTAATTATATTGGGATGAAACCACATAAATCCGTCGACCAGCTAGTTGAACCAGTTTTCAGTAAAATTATAAATATTTATCATTATGTACATCAATATATAGCACTTTAATATTTATAAAAATACTTTTAAAATTCTTATATACAAATGTAGTAAAACATAGTTAAGCAAGATGGTGGAAGCAATCATGTATAGTTATGTAAACACAAAATTGAATAGGATATTGGTTTGTGCGATGCAGTCCTGGGCCTTATTCAGACAATCTCAATCTAATATATTTTAAAGAATGCTGTCTTTTCATTAGGATTTTAAATCACAAAATAGTAGTTTATAGTATCAAAAAAATTTTTTTAAAAAAATATAACACCGTACAATGATTCTGTACCCATTTTCTCATTTTGAGTATAATATGTATTTTGATATTAAATTATTTATTTTCGAGCGTTATTTATGGTCAGGAAGAAGACTTCTATTTGATCTAATCACCAAATATGGTCTCTTATTCCAACACTGATGATCGTACAATCGAACTATACATTCAAACTGTAAACCTGTAGATCCAGTTGAATATGTTTTATCGACTTCAAGAAAATATGTTCCAGGCATTATGTCTTACACTGTCTTTCCTTCTATGTTTCATTTTTGTCAAGCCTGGAAATAAGGCATCTGTCACAGACAATGTCAGGCACATATTCAGGCTTTGTCAGGCACAAAACTTCTGGTGCCTGTCATTTTTGTCCGGCACTGATTTGTCTTTTTTATTGATGTTATTAATATATGTCCAGCACTAAGTTGAAAATGTCAGGTACTATTTCATTAGTGGCTGACATTTTGTCAATGACATCTAAAATCGTAATTATTTCCAGGCCTGTTTTCTTCCAGATTTGGATTTCACTCTATCACTTTAGTTGGTTTTGACTGATAATATTTAAATTTAGTCTGCACTTCAGTGTTAAATTGGCTGGGGTGGGGCAAGAAAGTTTTCTTCAATTTTTATCCTAAGGTTTTGACCAGAAATAATTGTTTAAAATTGTAAATTAATATAAGGAATAAATGGTGACATTGGCTCAGAAATATGTTGAACTTTGAACATCGGAATAACACTGACATGTCTAATATACAATAAAAACTTATTTTGATTCTTCTTCAAACTACTGTATACACAGAGTCCTCTAACAAACTTCCACCCATATCTCTTCCTTTTTTAACGAAGTCCAGAAATAATACGGAACATGGAATATAACAAATTTCCACCCATATCTGTTCCTTTTTTAACGAAGTCCAGAAATAATACGGAACATGGAATATAACAAATTTGGCAACTTAAAAATCTCAGCACTGACTTGAAATTTTGAGTTATTCTCATCAATTGCCTGCAATCTATTTAATAAAAGATGATCAGTGATGTTGAATTGTGGTACTTTCCTCAAGTTCCTGTTGTATATTGTTCTCATTATAAGGAGTATTCTGGTTCAATGTATAATCATACACCAATTTACGTCCAAGTATCTGAAATAGAAGATAACATACATCAATATTGATCCACAAGTACCTGTAATGAAATAAAATGGGGTCGAATAGCCGAATGGTTAGTGCGTGCATGTTGTATCATGAGGTCTGTGGTGGTTTTGATTACCCGGTTGTACGTTGGTTTTCTTCGGGTCCTCTGGTTTCCTAAAGATCCTTACACGTAAGTGAGTTATTGAACTAAAATTGAATCTTATGTTAGTCCCGAAATGACCTAGTTTGTGTCGAGTGGACGTTAAACCCCATTTCTCTCTCCTAATGACTGGGCTACACCAAACAGTGTACTATGAGGCAAATTTTGCATGAACAGCAGCGCTACTGCCTACTCTTACTGCCATAGAGAACTTTTAAACGCATGCCAGTGTGTACACGGGACCTCATTTTTTCATCCCATCCGAATGACTATGCATAGCCCCTTGGCAGGTCCTAAATCATGCACCACTGACAAGGAGGAACCATGCCAGAAAATCCTGATGAACTTTCTCTGCCAATGCAGGGATTGTAAAAGAGACCTCCAGGTTAGCGAGCCAACACCCTACCCACTGAGCTATCGTGGCTCCCAATGATCCTAGAGGCACTTAGTAAGTGGATAGAGCAATACACTAATGACTATACCCGAGCAATACACTAATGACTATACCCGAGCAATACACTAATGACTATACCCGAGCAATACACTAATGACTATACCCGAGCAATACACTAATGGTTTCTAGTCTGTTGTTGACTATACCCCCCGGTATATATTTATGCCCTACACATAGTTAAAACTCTTCAAAGCACTGCCCAAATAAATTAGTAATTGTGTTTTCCTTGAAGTGTCGTATTGTGCAGCTGAGTGGTTCTGTTGGGACAATAAGTTCTTCATCTGTGAACATACTCTCAAAGCATGTCAAGTGTCCATGACTATTTATCATATCACAACCTGCATAGGTATTTTGCATTTCAAGAGTATAATTCAAAAGAACGCATAAATAAAATGCTAGCTTTATGACTACTGGTGTGAGAAATGGTATCAGTTGTTCTAGAAGAAGTAAGCATCATCCATTAAATACAGCCCTGGTTTATTTCCTCAAAAAGCACAAGTAAAATGGTTAATTTAGTTTTTCACGGTAACCCTATCCTCTGTGTGTTATTGTTTTTGGGATAATTAAACCATGGTTCTATTCAATGGTTAACGCTTATTCCTTTAAGATAGATTTTTATTTAAGAATTACCTGTAAATTAGCTACTTTCTTCACACCCATTACAGCTAAACAGAATAATGCCTAGAAATATCAGGAAAACAATGTTATACATAGACTGTCTATACCCTTTATACACTATACCAAGTGCATGTATAATCAATTTAATATAGACTGTCTATACCCTTTATACACTATACCCAGTGCATGTATAATCAATTTAATATAGACTGTCTATACCCTTTATACACTATACCCAGTGCATGTATAATCAATTTAATATAGACTGTCTATACCCTTTATACACTATACCCAGTGCATGTATAATCAATTTAATATAGACTGTCTATACCCTTTATACACTATACCCAGTGCATGTATAATCAATTTAATATAGACTATCTATACTCTTTAAATATAATGCCAAGGGTTCTTTTACATGCCCCCGGTTGTACGTGACAAGGAGTAGGGTCACCTGTCCATTCTCAGGGATTTTCTCCGGGTCCCCAGGTTTCCTCCCACTGCTAAAGACCCCTACGCGCAAGAAAATGATTGAAATAAAATTGAACCATGTGTTAGTTCCAAAATGACCTAGTTTGTGTCGCTCTCTCTCTCTTTTACATGCAGGGCAATGTGTACACGGGGACCTCAGTTTTACGTTCCATCCGAACAACTATATGCCAAGGGTTCTTTTACATGCACGCCAATGTCTACTGATGGGGACCTCAGTTTTTCATTTCTTTCGAACGACTATAAGTTGTCCCTTGCCAGGTCCTCTGCCCTGCAAACAACGGGATGGAACTCAGGACCTCCAATTTAGCGAGACAACACCTTTTTCACTGGGCCACTGTGGCTCCCTCCAATGTTTAGTCTGGAATAATGTGTCTTAAGGGATGACATGTAACAACTAGGAGTAATCCAACCAATCAATTAAATTACAATTAAATCAAGAAACATTCAACCAATCAAATTAATTCAAGTTTAAATCAAGACAAATCTTGGGAAAACTTACCAAGTATGTTATGAATAGCAAATACAAGCCCACAACCACTGCTACACCAATATAAGCTCCCCAGTTGGATGGTAAATTTTTAAGATAAGCAGAAACAAAAAATAAATTGATAGCAATGACAACAACTGCCAACAGGGATGTCATTATTTTCATGGCCCTGAAAGTGAAAGACAGAAAAATACAGAATAATTTTAGTCTGCATAAAAACCCCAGTGTTATGATTTGATTCTATACTTGGTTTCGCTCTGTTTCTTTCCTATGACTTGGTACCCAGTTTCACTCTGTTTCTTCCCTATGACTCGGTATCCAGTTTCGCTCTGTTACTTCCCCATGACTTGGTACCCAGTTTCACTCTGTTCCTTCCCCATGACTTGGTACCTGGATTCGTTCTATTCCTTCTCTATGACTTGGTATCCAGTTTCGCTCTGTTCCTTCCCCATGACTTGGTACCCAGTTTCGCTCTTTTCCTTCCCTATGACTTGGTACCCAGTTTCGCTCAGTTTCTTCCCCATGACTCGGTAACCAATTTCGCCCTTTTCTTTCCCCGTGACTCGGTACCCAGTTTCACTCTGTTCCTTCCCTATGACTTGGTACCTGGTTTCGCTATTTTCCTTCCCTATGACTCGGTGCCTGGTTTCATTCTGTAGTTAAACAGACGAACCTACTCTTTTTCATATCAATGAGACCTTATGATTTGAAGCGCACACATTAAACTATTCGTCCCCCTTTCCCCTAATCAGACAAACTTTTAAATAAAATATTTACCTTCCATTTACGAATTCCGCCATAATTCCTTTAGCACTAGTGAAAGTAAGAATCGGGAGTAGGGCAAAAGGTAATTGTAGCGACATCAACACGTTTAATAAGTCATTCATAACAGTTAAATTTTCTATTCCTTCAAATACGGCTATAAATACAGTAGGTAAAATAGCTATAGTTCTTGTTAATAATACTCTCTGCCATCTCTTCCATTTTAGATTTAAAAAACCCTGAAATTATAAAACGAGTCACAAACCATGAAATTGGACAAGGAGTTTCAAATGATCTAAGCTTACTTGCAAAAAAAAATAGAATCAGAATTCAAGAAAACTCAATATTAATTCACAGCAACTGTACAAACAATAATGGAATCAGAATTTGAGAAATCATGATATTAATTTGCAGACGACATATTGAACTGTCAAGTCTCAATGCCGACGGAGAAACAATAGGTTATCATGTGGCGGAGAAACATTAGGTAATCATGAGACGGAGAAACATTAGGTTATCATGAGACAGAGAAACATTAGGTTATCATGAGACGGAGAAACATTAGGTTATCATGAGACAGAGAAACATTACGTTATCATGAGACAGAGAAACATTACGTTATCATGAGACAGAGAAACATTAGGTTATCATGAGACGGAGAAAAATTACGTTATCATGAGACGGAGAAACATTACGTTATCATGAGACGGAGATACATTACGTTATCATGAGACAGAGAAACATTAGGTTATCATGAGACGGAGATACATTAGGTTATCATGAGACGGAGATACATTACGTTATCATGAGACGGAGATACATTACGTTATCATGAGACGGAGAAACATTACGTTATCATGAGACGGAGAAACAATAGGTTATCATGTGGCGGAGAAACATTAGGTAATCATGAGACGGAGAAACATTAGGTTATCATGAGACAGAGAAACATTACGTTATCATGAGACAGAGAAACATTAGGTTATCATGAGACAGAGAAACATTACGTTATCATGAGACGGAGAAACATTACGTTATCATGAGACGGAGAAACATTACGTTATCATGAGACAGAGAAACATTACGTTATCATGAGACGGAGAAACATTAGGTTATCATGAGACGGAGAAACATTAGGTTATCATGAGACAGAGAAACATTACGTTATCATGAGACAGAGAAACATTAGGTTATCATGAGACGGAGAAAAATTACGTTATCATGAGACGGAGAAACATTACGTTATCATGAGACGGAGATACATTACGTTATCATGAGACAGAGAAACATTAGGTTATCATGAGACGGAGATACATTACGTTATCATGAGACGGAGATACATTACGTTATCATGAGACGGAGATACATTACGTTATCATGAGACGGAGAAACATTACGTTATCATGAGACGGAGAAACATTACGTTATCATGAGACAGAGAAATATTACGTTATCATGAGACGGAGATACATTAGATCATCATGAGACGGAGACACATTAGGTTATCATGTGGCGGAGAACAAATAGGTTATCATGAACGATATCTCTAAAATTGAGTTAAATATGAAATGATTGTAATGCCATGTGCAGTGCTCTCTGAGTGAAATGTTTCCCAGACAAGTACACTACAGCCTATTTTTAGAATGATTTCCATCTAAATTTTTTTTCCTTGCCAAGCCACTTCCCATCCTGCAACAGTGACAAGGGGAAACCAAACTGAAAAACTTCATGGAACTATTCCAGCCAACACCTTGATCAAACCCAAGATGTCCTGGTTAGTGAGCCAGTATGCTACCATACACAAAATGCCTCTTATGAAGTCCTCGAAATTGTAATTTGCTAGCACTAAATTGAAAGTCAATGTGTACTCGGGACCTTAGTTTTCGTACGATCCAAAAGACTTGACAGTTGTCTTTGTCGGGCCCTTTCGACTTGAACAACTTTCAAGGGAAAACCATGGTGGAATACCCTGAGAAACTTTCTCTGCCTAAATCGGGAGCGAACCGGAGACCTCCAGGATAGCAAGCCAACGTCTCCCGCACTGAGTTGACGGGCTAAAAAAGGAAACATAATTTTGATTTGGGTCCTTATTTATGAAAATTTAAACGAAAACAGTTCAAGAATTCTGCCCTTTCATTGTACAAAAGTTAAAATTTGTATATGGATTTTTAACACTCTCAACCAATGAAATGGCTGTATCCTGAAAATATGTTAGTGTATGTTTTTGTGAAATAGGCCTCAGTATTTTATTTTGTTTCATTATCTTGCTGTAGGTATTCACTTACCTCCATCACAAACTGACCAGTGTAAGTACCAGTCATAGTTGAACTTTGACCTGCAGCTAGTATTCCTACACCCCAAATATACATAGCAGCTAATCCAAACTGACAGCCTAAAAATACTCCCTAGAGAGAAGAAAAGAAAGAAACCCATTTTAATGATATTAAAGCCTAAACATGCCAGAATAAATATTAAAAAACACAACACAGTTTATATGGAAAACGATCACTAGTTTATACACATATAGCACGATGTTTCGACATTATCAAGAATAAATATTAAATTTAAATGCAGAGTTAAGACCCTTGCAAATCGATCAATTCTACCTTCAGTTATGGCCATTTTAAGTTTACATCAGTTTCTAAAGATTTCACACGGCCATCTTGTTTTATCTCTTTTAGATAAGTATAATAATAATAACTGAGCATCTTTTTCGTACAAACAAGCCCATACACATATCTTCCAAACTACTTAACAACAACAGTCTTTAACAAATAGTTAATACACCTATTTGGGGGGTTTGGATGGACGAATGGTTAGCATGTGCGCGTTGTATCATACGGTCTGTCATTGAGTCAAATGTTTGTATGTGACAAGGAGTAGGGTCACCTGCCCAACCTCTTGGGTTTTCTCTGGGTCCTCCGGTTTCCTCCCACTGCTAAGGGCCCCTATGTGCAAGTTAATTATTGAAATAAAATTGAACCATATGTTAGTCCCGAAATGACCTTGTTTGTGTCGAGTGGACGTTAAACCCCATTTCTCTCTCTCTTGTCACATACAATCAGGGAATCGAAACCACACCAGTTGACTCAATGACAGACCCAAAAAGAACAAAATTAAAAAATAGAAGACTTACCCCTTTATAGATATCAACAGTAAGCTCCTCGGTTGTCTGATAAATAAACAAATAGATTTTTTTAAAAACAACATCGACAAATAGCATTATCAAATAAAAGAAGTACACATCTTTACCATTAAATTTATAAATATCAAGTTATAACAAGATTCTACCAAAAGACCAAGGACAATAACTCTGGAAATTATCTGCTATCACTGAAATTAAATATGTTTCTACATCATGTTAACAATCATGTAATTTATAAAAAGAGATGATAAAAATTGTGACCCGTAGAGTGTCGTGGACGGACAGTCAGGGACGACAGCATGGAAATGTGGGCGTATAAAAAACTTCTCTAGGGTGGACAATGGACAAAGGCAACAACAATATATGTCCCCATTACAATATTGTAAATACTTTAATTAAACTTACATTAAATACATCTGCATGAGGATTTCCTTGAGCTTTACAATTTTCATACTAAAAAAAAATATACAAACAAATCAGACACAAAATCACAAATACATACTACTATTACTAAGCTTATTTTTTCAGGAAAAATTTAAGACGGAACTCAACAGATTAGTAAACAGAATGAAATGAAATGAAATGGAGTTTAACTTCCTGCTGTTCTGCTCCTGTACTGGGCTAATCAAGACTGGCATGCGCCATGCAGTGTGCTATGAGGAAAATTTTGCCTGGGCAGCTGCACTATGGCCTACCCTTATATCAAATTCCAACTGCCAAGGGAACGCCAATGTATACACGGAACCTTGGTTTTTCGTCCCATCCAAATGACTAGACAGCTGTCCTTGTCAGGCCCTCCATCCTGCACCACTGATAATGGGAAACCCAGTTGGAAAATCACGATGAACTTTCTCGGTCAATGCGGGGATCGAACACAAGACCTCCAGACTAGCGACTAGAAATCAAACAATTGGTGGACCACTGAGTGTAAAAGAGAACTCTTGTCTGGTGCGCACACACACACACACACCATCACACACACACACACCTTAACTTAGAATAGATAAATTGATTCAACTTACTACATTCATACTTGATTTATGATAAAATCCCTGAGCGAACACAGATACAACAAACACATTGATTAAAAACGATACAAATAACGCAATAGCTGCTTCGATAAAGAAATAACGGTTAGCCTCTTTGATTTCTGGTCTCTTGGTACGATCTATCTCACGAGACTGAAAAATAAAATACAGATCAGGTTTTACATTTCCTCCGTACAAAAAAAGTTTCATACAATCCACCAGTAATTATCCTAATAAACAATATGAACTGAAATGAAATGAGGTTTAACGTCCTATTTTTATGCTCCAACAGGGCTAATGAAGATGGGAATATGCCATACAGTGTGCTATGAGGGAAATTTTGCCCAGGCAGCGGCACTATGGCCTACTCTGATATCAAATTCCAACTGCCAAGGGATCTTTTATGTGCATGCCAATGTGTACACAGGACCTCGGTTTTTCGTACCATTCAAATGACTAGACAGCTGTCCTTGTCAGGCCCTCAGTCCTGCACCAATGATAAGGGGAAACCACATTGGAATATCCCAATGAACTTTCTCAGATCCTAATAAACAGTTATGACCATAAAAATTTTCAAATAATCACAGTTTACGAAACATCTATACAGCTTTTTATTACATATTGACTGGTGGTCTAGGTGGACCATCAGTCCCCCAATTTGGCCGATCAGTTGACCAAATTGGTCGACCAATCAACCCATATCATTCAACATGATAACTTTTATAGTTAGAGTGTTCACAAGGTTCAACAAAGTGAACCAAGTTAATAGTTAAAAACTAGATAATGTAAAGGGAATTTGCTGAAAATTTCAGTCAAATTAATCCACTCTGAACTGAGAATTTAGCGATTGAATTTTGGGTCTATCCTCGATCATCATTACTAAAGTTGGTACGATAAAAAACAGCCTGGATTATCCATTTTTTGATTTAATCATGAATGAGCATCGAGCAGCAGATTGGATCCTAATCCAGTAAATATCGCAATGACATCGAGAGTTGATTATGGTCTGGATAAGTTAATTAATATCTAATTAACAATTTAGATAACATTTCAGGCCTAAAGAAAGACCTGCAATAGGCAGATTTAGCTCTTGCATAATGTATGTTTAACTACCCCATTACTCACCTTAACTAAAGCTGAATGAAGATAGATATTATGAGGCATGATAATAGCTCCTATCACACCTACAGCTTGTAATAGTTGCTTGGGACCACATCCTTCACAATATGGTACAAATAATCCTTTCATTACTAACGCTTGATTTGGTGATACTACAACATACTACAAAATATACAATTAACACAAATTTATACATTTCACATTTTATTAACCTGGATGTTGTGGATGGCCGAATGGTTAGTGCGTGCGAGTTGCATCATAAGGTCTGTCATTGAGTCATCTGGCGTGGTTTCGATTCCCTGTTTGTACATGACAAGGAGTGGGTCCAACCTTGTAAGTTTTCTCTGGGTCCTCAGGTTTCCTTCCACTGCTAAAGACCCCTACGCGCAGGCGAATTATTGAAATAAAATAAAACCATGTCAAGTGGATGTTAAACTCCATTATGACAGACCTTATGATACATGCACACGCTAACCATTCGGCGATCCAACTTCCCCCACCCCTTCAATTGAAAAAGTGACGATGTATGCTATGACTACAAAGTATCTAAACATGAAGGAAACTATTTTTCTCCTAGATTCTATGACCAATGGAACAAAATGCCAGAATATCTTAAGGCCACACAAAATAAATGTCTTGTTTCTCGGGCAACTGACAGCTGAAACTGTAGGGAGGGAGGGCGGTTTCTTCTTTTTTTTTACTCATTGATGGTGCAAAATAAAATTTGGCTATTGCTGAAAATTGTTGGGGCGGGAGGGCGGTCTTTCTTTTTTTTTTTTTTAAATGAGAAAGTCATTACTTGTAAATTACGTTTTTGCTTTCCGTTATATTCAACTTTATTGTACATACTTAAAACATAAACCCAAAATCAAGTCTACTAAAACACTGAGACTGAACACTGACTGAAAGGAAAATAATTTTCCATATTTAATTCACATAATTGAAATTGGTTTAAAATAAAATTCCATACGACTATGTAATAGCCCTCCATAAAGACAACAATATTTTTAAAAACTAAGCCTCTTTCACCAGGTGTATCAAAAATAATAATCATGGTAAACAGTATTTAAAACTAAATGTAGTATCGCCGGTTTATTTATAATTATTTACCGAATTCCAAACAATGCATGTCACACCGTGTCATCGGTATTGGAGATTGCCGGAAATACTGTTTCTTGGGATATTCGGTGTGTTTCTCAGGATATTCGGTGTTCTATCCGGTGTTTATATTGAATGACTATTTAAATCTAACTAACAACTGGTCAGTAAAACCATCAAATCGGTAATCCAATTATTATTTTCCGGATTATCGAAACTACCGTAAATGTGCTAATAATGACCCAGATTCTAAGGTATGCATTATGACGACTATCGTCATCGTATCGTATTCTTAGCTATAATTAATTAACCTGTTCTACGGTTCATTATTTTATCAATAGGATTTTCCAAACAAGGACCGACTGAAGCCGGCAATAATGAGCCGATTACGATCGAATGATTGAAATATTGTCGCCAATGACTTTTAACACGAATCAAATTCTAGTTTATCAGGGGAGGTAATTAATATCACGTGATACAAAATGGAGGTTCTTTCGATATCAATAAAAAAGGCAAATCTGCCAAACTTCGCCATTGTTCGGATAAAAAAGACAGCATGTTCATCTGAATCAGTTTTAATACATTTGAATAGATATACATGTATGGCGGATGTAGGTACATGCGGGATATTTTTTTTACGACTTGCTTGTCGATGTGCGGGCGGGCGTTACATATTTATTTTTTTTCATCAAGACTAATAAATAGACTGCACGCGCAACCAATTTTGCGTGCGGGCGGTGCCCGAGAAACAAGTTATTTTATTTGTGTTGCCTAAAATATAGCACAAATAGATAAATAATTCTAAAGTATGAGGCTATCTGATCAATCTGATTAATACACGGATCCCATTTCGTTTCATTTTATATTTTTCAAAATTTCATTTTACTTATCTTTTCTGCACTAGAATCTGGAAGAGTTGTTATCATTGACGTGTTCTGGAAGAGTTGTTATCATTGATGTGTTCTGGATGATGTGAGGGTTTAGGCTTTTGACGTGTGGTGCACGGAAATGTGGGTAATCCACTAGAAACATCAGTGCTGATTGGTTAATCAAATGTTTGACATCATAGGGTCAAAAGCCGCTCGTATGACCTCTAACGCGACCTTCATGTAGTGTAGGCCATCGAAAGTATAAAAAATAAATCGAAATATAGATCTGTATTTTAATCAGAGGCTATCTGACCATTTCAAGATCCACTTGCACAATTCCTTGTTTTTATGAGTGGATGCTGAATCTTTTTAATTACATTTGTTGATTAATATTGTATTATATCTAACTTTACCTCGTAACCAAATGTAATAGCCATTACTAAAATGAGGAAAGCAAAAAATCCTTCCAGTTTACGTAAGCCATATTTATCCAGCAATAAAAACGTGAAAGTATCGGCAATAGTAATAATAACACCAGCGTATAACGGTACTCTGAAAAATAATCAAAAATTTCCTGATAAATACCAAGAATAACATCTATTCATTAACTCCAAAATCCGACTTTGAAGTGCACATTGCATATCTCAATTTCTTGTTATTCACACTGAAAAACAACATGATTGATATTAATAAAACACTCATCTAGGTTTAGATCTAAATAAAAAAAAAAGTTGGTGCACCATGGAGGATTTTGCAAGGAAAAACTAAGGCCCCCCCCCCTCCCTGTTAACTCTCTGAAGTACACGTAAAAGAACCCTTTCGGTGGATCTGTTAATAAAGATGCTGGCTCGCTAGGTCTTGGGTTGGCCAAGGAAATTAATTGTGATTTTCCAGCGTGGTTTCAATTTGTTAGGGTTAAAGGACCGAGGGTCTGGCAAGGACAGGGTTTAGTTAATCGGATGGGACAAAAAATCAAGGTCCTGTGCAAACAATGGCGTGCACATAAAAGAAGCCACGACAATTGGAATTCGAAATACTAGTAGACCATAGTGCCACTGAATGTATGACATACCGGTATGCCTGTCTTCATTTGCCCAGTCGGTGCAGAAAAGTAGCACGCTTAGTCCAATTTCATCTCTAAATTTAAAAACAAAATCTTTACAAATATCTAAATTCTTACTTTCCATCAGATAGAAGATATATGGCTATGGCTGTTCCTATTACCTCCTGCATGTCTGATCCTATGATAGCTATTTCTATCATAATCCATAGAATCATACGAGGTACTAACGGATATTGACGATAACACACTTCTGCTAGATGCATGCCTGTCACGACACCCAGACGGGCTGATAATCTCTGCATTAATAATCCCAAGATTGTAGCTCCCATTAAAACCCATAATAGCTAAAAAAAAAATAACAATATCGAATTCAAATACATAGTTGGTGGTATACAGCCAATTATAAGATCTGATCAATCAAAATATTATGTATACTCTTAAATTCTAATCATGAGCCGTTTATTGGTCTTTAAACTAGTGCTGGGTATTGCCACGATACGTATTGGGATTCAGGCTCTATTAAACGATTTGTATCACAATCATAACCAGGTCACTATTTACCAAGAAATCAACAGGATAAATGAATAATTTATATTTTTAGTCCTGACGATGTCAATGAAATAAACCCGTTTTATTTATTACGATAGTGATATGGATCATAACAAGGATCAAAATAATTTAAGGGTGTTTGTGAACCCATTGATAGCGTGTGATGTGGATAATTAAGAGTGACGGATTACTGAAGCGAAAAAAAAAAAAAACATAAATTTTTTTTCGATACATCGAGTCAGTATCTCGAGATTCAATACTGAATCGATGTGTCGAAAAAAAATTTATGTTTTTTTTTTTTTCGCTTCAGTAACCCGTCACTCTTAATTATCCACATCACACGCTATCAATGGGTTCACAAAAAAAATTGAATCGCTATAATCTCGATTCAGAGTAAAGCAATTTCACAGAAAATTTCATCATATTCTGTTTTCATTATCTATTTTTTTTTTAACTATTAACTATTATAGCGAGAACTGTCAACCCTTTAATTTTTTTTGTGAACCCATTGATAGCGTGTGATGTGGATAATTCAGAGTGACGGGTTACTGAAGCGAAATTTTTTTTTCGATACATCAATTCAGTATCTCGAGATTCAATATGTGCCAGCACTACTTTAAACACCTTTATAATTAAAGGGTTGATAGTTCTCGCTATAATAGTTAATAGTTAAAAAAAAAAATAGATAATGAAAACAGAATATGATGAAATTTTCAGTGAAATTGCTTTACTCTGAATCGAGATATAGCGATTTAATTTTAGGCTAGTCATGATCGTCATTACTGACGGTGGCACGATAATATACAAAGTCTTGATTATCCATTTTTACGTTAAATTATCCATCACAAAATGCTTTCAAATCCACTAAACATTGCAGGCTAATGATGGCATCAAGAGATGATTATGGCCTGGATAAGTTCATTAATGTCTAATTAATAGTTTATATAACATCTCAGTCCTAAAGACAGACCTGCAATAGGCAGATTTAGCTTTTGCATAATGTGTGTTTAACCATACAACTGTATACCTAGGATTAGCAAATCAAAACTTTATTTTTCCTCTTAAATTACTATTGATATTCACACTATATATTTCTACTCACTCACTCTACCTACCAAATAGATCTATATGATAGACGATTTTTTAAACCAGGACCAATAATCTTAAAACTATAGCCATGATCAGCAAAAAAACAAATCCCCCCAATGTTTACTCTTGTAGTGGTCTCAAGATAGGATGATTCTAAATATTGGTATCAAGTTTTATCACTCGATCACTCAAGCAATTAGAATCAAAGTTAATCTGTTCAACAGTCTCAACCAATCAAATTGCTTTGATTAATTCTAAGCAGAAAATGTTCACAGTTCACAACCACAGTCACAAAATTCACCTACAAGTTTGAACACTGTAGAAGCAGAGTTATTGTGTAACAAAAGGTGCGACATGCAGATAGACGGACAGACAAACCCATAATTCAATTGACCATTGCTTTGCGTAAAATATGGTAATCATAAATGAATACAGAATATGTAGCTTAAGGGGATCAGCATAAATGTTTAAGGGCCAAATTTCACAAAAAGGTAGGAAAAAGATAGCAAAGGTTGGAACATGAGTCCCACAATTCAAGACTCGAGTCTGACTTAAACATACATTATGCAAGAGCTAAATCTGCGTATTGTAGGTCTTTCCGTAGGCCTGAAATGTTATCCAAATTATTAATTAGACATTCATTAACTTATCCAGACCATAATCAACTCTCGATGGCATCGCTAGGCTGTGATATTTACTGGATTTGAATATATATTGTGATGGATGATTTAACATCAAAATGGGTAATCGAGACTATGTTGTTGTTTTTTTAATATCATACCAACTTTAGTAATGATGATCAAGGCTAGGCCTAAAATTCCATTGCTAACATCTCGGTTCAATGTGGAGCATTTTGACTGAAACTTTCAGCATATTCTCTTTACATTATCTAGTGTTTAACTATTGTAATGAGAATTGCCAGCTCTTTATCTTATCTCCTATAATGTTACATCAATGACCCAACTTGCGACTTGACTCAGCAGTTGTGAAGACTCACGACTTGAAAGAACTTAGTTCTCAGACTTTGTGAAGACTTGGGACTCGACTCGGTACTAAAGTCAGTGACCTAAAACTTAGTGACTCGAACTCGAGTTGCGGCGACTTGGTATTCGATTCGGACTCGAGGTCCGAATGGTTAGCATGTGCGGGCTGTATCATAAGGTCTGTCATTGAGTCAACTGGCGTGGTTTCGATTTTCCGGTTGTACATGACAAGGAGTAGGGTCGCCTGTCCAACCTCGAGGGTTTTCTCCGGGTCCTCCGGTTTCATCCTACTGCTAAAGACCACTAAGGGCAACAGCATTGTTGAAATAAAATTGAACCATGTGTTAGTCCCGAAATGAACTAGTTTGTGTCGAGTGAACGTTAAACCCCATTTCTCTCTCTCTCACCCACCTCTGAAAGATATGCAATTTTTTTTTGACAAGGAAAAGAGAGGGAGAGCCACATCAACACCTTAGTCATATTTTGGTTTAAATCAAAGAGGCCATATTGAATTAACTATAACGATCAAAGTATAATAATTCCAACAAGATATACTGCTAGAACTGATCCTCCAGATACTTACCCTAAACTGAGCAATGGATCCGGATTGTAAATCAGATTCTATATTACCAGGATCAAGATAAGCTATGCTCATCAAAAAACCGGGTCCGGTGAAAGCCCACAATTTACGAAAACTAAATCTATACTGAAATAACAAAAGTACATTTATATTTTAAATTAGACATAAATCTAAATATAATATCTAAATCAACAAGTACTCGCATCTTCTGCAGGGAGTCTCAGTGGCTCAGTGAGGATCAGTCCTAGTGTTAGCCAAGACAGTTCCTCAGATTTTTCCGGTGTGGTTTCCCCTTGTTAGTGGTGTAGAACAGACGATCTGGCAAGAACAGCTCCTATTTATTCGGATTAGACAAAAAAAGAGGACCGATGTACACATCTGAGTGCATGTGAAAGAACTTACTTGAATTGTACGTACATGTAAATATAGACGGTTGGTTTGACTTCGGTTATGCTGGGGAAGAAAAACTTCAGAAAAAAAAACCCTCTACATAAAAACCTTGGTCTGTCGGCCTCGGTTTTTCTTTTTTCTCGGATTATTTTTCTTGGAATTCAAAATAAGAGCAGGTCGTAGTGAAGCAGTAGGGACAAAATTTCCCTCATGGGAAGTCATGCCACTTGACTCAATGACAGACCTAATGATGCAATGCTGGCCACCGTTAACTATTCACCCCCCCCCTCCCCCCAACCCCCATTAAAGATATGGAGAGAACAAGTTAAATGTTTTGTTACTTACATCATCAGAATTTGGTATAGGAATTTGTTCGTTGAAATAAGTTGACGCTACTGTTGTTAATTTGGGTTTTTTCTCCTCATCATCATCCCCCGTGTTGGTAGGTGTGTGATTGGAGAAATCTTCATATTCGTTTGTCATGATAAAGGTCCAGTAGGCCTCAGCAGTTTTAATACCTTACTTGAACAAATCTACCTGAAATGAAAATAAAATAAATTTATTTGCAGTCAGACTTTAGTCAATCGAGATTCACATATCCGACATGGGCTTTAACATCCTACCTTCCCGTCCCACACGAGCTAATGAAGACGGATGCACACCAAACAGTGCGCTATGAGGGAAATTTTGCTTGGACAGTGGCTCTACAGCCTATACTAAATTCTAACTGTCAAAGGGTCTTTTACGTCCAGACCAATCAATGTGTAAACAGGGCCCCAGATTTTTGTCCTAAGCGAAGGTCGAAGGACAGGCGACGCTACTCCTTGTCACCTACATGCCAGAAATCAAAACCGCGCCAGTTGACTCAATGACAGACCTTTTGAAACAACGCGCACTCGCTAACCATTCGACCATCCAACCGCCCTCAAATGTACATAGGAGTCACAAGGTTAACCATGTATATAGTAAGATGATACGAGTGTTGGAGCAGTTTGATTGTTAACAATATGATAAACAAGTGAAAATTTGATGCTAAAGTCTAAGATTTACATGAAATATGCCTCCATCGTACATTTCATATTACATCCTGGTTTTGAGTACAATGAATATTTAAAGATACATTATGGAAGATTAGATAAAGAGCTGGCAGTTTTGACTATAACAGTTAAAAACTAGATAATGTAAAAGGAATTTGCTGAATTGATAAACTCTGAACTGAGATTTTAGCGATTGAAATTTCAGCCTAGCCTAGATCACCATTACTAATACAATCTAGACTGAAACACCAATACACACCTATACATTAAATATAGTAATTTGCATATCTCTTATAATAGTGTCCTTTATCTTGTTTATTTATAAACCATCACACAATATTGATTTATAACCTATTTTTTTTAAGTGTTAATATCCAATTACTAGCATATATATAGAGACAAATATCTAATATGGCCTGATTACATATCAATTCAAGATTCTTTATCAATATTTATGGTTAAACATCTTGTATATCATTAACAACAGCTACGGTAATAAAAAATGAAAGACAGAGACACTGACATCAAATTACTGGGCTGGTTACAATGCCTGAAACCATTTTGCCCAAAGGTTATATCTACTAGCTTCAAAATTCTTAAATACAATCTCTAAATCCAGTAGTGATGATGACATACAATAGCAAAGTACATGTATGCTTACTCTATCTGGAAAACCTGATAACACTTATAGATTATATATAAGTACATGAGGCAGGGTATACTTACTCTTTTTAAATACCTGTCACACTAGCTGTACAGGTAAGTAGTTAGACTGATATGATTAATATATTATATAATTCAAGATAATATATAGAGTAAGTTTATACGATATTATCTAGGGGGGTTGGATGGCCGAATGGTTAGCATGTGCGTGCTGTATCATAAGGTCTGTCATTGGTTTCGATTCCCTGATCTTATGTGACAAGGACAAGGGTCGCCTCTCCAACTGCGTGGGTTTTCTCTGGGTCCTTCGATTTCCTGCCACTGCTAAAGACCCCTATGCGCAAGCAAATTTTTTTAAATAAAATTATACCATATGTTAGTCCCAAAATGACCTAGTTTGTGTTGAGTGGACGTTAAACCCCATTTCTTTCTCTCTCACGATATTATCTAATTATAACACCAGTTTATATCTAAGTCTGTGAGATAATGATAAATAGATTAAAGGCCTGCAATTTCAATGAATCTGGGACAACAATTAGGTTAACAGACAAGAGAGAGAGAGAGAGAGAGAGAGAGAGATTGGGTTTAACATCCACTTGACACAAATTAGGTCATTTCGGTACTAACACATTTTATTTCAATAATTCGCTTGCGCGCAGTGGGAGGAAACCAGAGGACCTGGAGAAAAACCCACGAGGTTGGACAGGTGACCCTACTCCTTGTCACGTACAACCAGGGAATTGAAACCACACCATTTGACTCAATGACAGACCTTATGATACAGCGCACATTTTACTAACATCATATAAGTTTATACAAGATATATTAACTAACAGTCTAACACCCACCTTACCGACTATCATATCCTTTATATTCCAGTTATATATTTTCCACTGTGACTAGCCACTATTAAAACTTTCATTATAATTACACCTCAAATGACCAAAACTGCTATCAAAATTTAATTTGATTAGCAAAAATTTATTAAAACTATTTCACACTGCTAACCAATTGTCGAGAGTTATTTTGTTCCCTGTGCTATAGTGGTACCGTAGCATCAGTGATGGTATCTCAGTATTAGAATTTGATCTTGTCTGCCTCCGTAATACAATGATTTATTATGTCTGATAATTGAAATATAGAAACTGTTTAACTGTGACAAATGAATATTAATCTCACATCTGTGGTTTTTGTATAAACATCTCATAAAAAAAAAATCAATATTAAAACTTTAACTAGAACTGCGCCGCAGTAATGACGGGTTTCACCGGTGCCCCGTTACCCTTGAACATATGTCACTTCCGGTACCGATGAAACCATTAAACAGGTTTCCATATAAGCATTGCACACATCAAATAAAATGTACGCAGAATCAACCAAATCCAGCAATATCAATTCATTGTATACATTTGTTACATGTAAGAGATCCTGACAAAATTACATTACTTCCAGTGATAATGAAAATGTTAAATTACTTTTATGAAATCAGAAATGGCATAAGGCATCACAATGACATGGTGAAAATTTTATGTAAATCGAATAATAATTGCCACTTTCATAGACCAAAAACCTTGAACAGTGACTTGTAGAAAACCGTCTATTTTTCTGCAACCTTACAAGTTAGAAACCATTTTTTGGTATCTGTATGATCGTATGGGTTCAATCTATTTATTGATTGGAATGAAATATCATAATTTTAAAGACATTTCAAATCAGACTCATTTGAATAAAATATCTGTTTTAAAGGCTAAAAATACAGTTTCTGCCAAAATGAGTTTAGTTCCGGTGATAATGAAAATCTTAAATTACTTGAATGAAATCGTAAATGGCTTTAGGTATCACATGGTGAAAATTTTATGAAAATCGAATAATAATTGACACTTTTATGGACAAAAACCTTGAAAAGTTGCCTGTTGAAAATCGTCTATTTCTCTGCAACTGAACAAGGTAGAAACCATTTTGTGATATCTATATGATCGTATGGTTTCATTCTATTAGTTGATTAGAATCAAATATCAAAATTTTAAAGAAATAAATAAAACTCATTTGAATAAATTATTTGTTTCGAAGGCTATAAATACAGTTTTTGCCCAAATTACGTCATTTTAGGTGACATTGAAAATGTTAAATTGAGTTGAACTAGTCACAATTGACATTATGCATCAAATGGTGTCACTTTTATGAAAATCCAATAATAATTGACTCTTTTACAGACACAATAGCGTAAAGAGTGACTCATGCAAAATTGACCATTTCTTGGCAACTGCTCATATTACAAACTAATTTTGAGATAGATTCTCTTCGTATGGATTAATGCTACAAGTTTATGAAAGTTGCGAAGAAATATTTTAAAATATGAAAAGCCTGAATGGGTTGTAAATAGCTCATTTTTTCACCTTTTTTCACCTTTAAATCAAAATGACCCGAAAACGAAATCGAAATTAAAAAAACTGAGCCCGATGTTTTCTGCGCCTTTACAGGGCACACACTTTCAGTCATACCAGATTTTAAAAAAATAATATTTGCTTTCAAAAAGTGGTACCGAACTGTCAAAATTGTAGTTTTTGCTAAATTTACGTCACTTCCGTTGCCGAAAGGTAACTTTACCGGTAACAAAAAAATGACATTTTGGATTACGGAGCATATGAACTTTGTTTTATACAAATCGAGCAATAAATAATTAATCCAGGACTGAAAAACTGAATTAGCCAATGGGGGTCAAGGAAATTTACGATGACAAAAAATGGTGCCATTTTTGGTCAAATCAGATGACTCTTTAACCCTGGGTAAAATACCACATTAAAATATTCATGAATAAAAAAGTTTTTTGTAAAAATTTAAATTTTCAAAATTTGGCGCCTAATATCTCCGACGATTCGTGGAAAATCAAAAATCTAAAGAACCGTGGCTATGTGCCTTGTCTCTGGCTATGTCAAAATGTATCCAATGTTAAAATCCGACGATTATTGTTAATATTACGGCAATATTTCAAAAATCGACAAATTCGACGATTTCGGACATTTCGCATTGTCGCAGAACGTTCGAAATAGCTTTAATCTCTAAGTCACACCCACTTTTCCAGTAAAACCGAAGACATCGAATCAATCCGACAAGTAGTTTCTGAGATACAATCAAACACTGCAACACTTTTTAGTCTGTATAAGAATTTGTTGGCCTTTTAAATAAAGTCAGTCTTGAATATCGATAGAATTTGAGGCATCTACAACGAATAATTCAAACAATTGTAACAAAATTTGTAGATGCTTGTATCTCTAAAATACATAATGCTTGTATCTCTAAGATACATAATGCTTGTATCTCTTAAGAGATATAATGCTTGTATCTCTAAGATACATAAAGCTTGTGTCACTAAAATTTTAATGAAAAACAAGAAGGCTCTGTAATCAACACCCCACAATATAATTGTATAACAAAATGAAATGAAATGAAATGGGGTTTAATGTCCTACACCATACAGTGTGCTATGAGGGAAATTTTGTCCGGACAGTTGTGATACGGCTTACTCTTATACTGAATTCCAACTGCCAAGGGTTCTTTTATGTGCACTCCAATTCTAAACAAGACCTCGGTTTTTCGTCCCATCTGAATGACTAGACAGCTGTCCTTGTCAGGCCCCCGTCCTGCACAGCTGCCAAGAGGAAACCACGCAGTCTTGAATAACAAAATCTATGTCAAATTTGCTCCCCATGCAACACAAAAATGACAGAATCTGTAAAATTTATGCTTAGCAAAAGAAATGCTGGCACGATCATATATCATTAAATCGATGTATCGCGATTCACCTTTTCACAATAACAAGACGCTGAATCGATGTAT